ACCTGCCGCTTGTTGGGTCCCTGCTGGAGGAGCAGCGGCCCGACTGTGCCGCGGATCACGGGTTATGGCCACCCCGAGCTGAGAGCCCGCGCCTGGGCTCCGCCTCTGCAGCCGGCTTCCCTGCTCCGATACCTGGGAGCTCTGCCGCCCTCAGGCACCCCCGGTCTTTCTGTGACCCCGAGGGTCCTGAGCCCACACTGTCCCAGAGGGTTCCACCCCCCGCTTAGCCACCAGAGTGACGTCCCTCGGCCGAGCAGACTTTTAAAAGTTCCGATTTTGTGCTCCGCGGCTCTATCACTTGCCGGAAGCGGCCGACGGAGGCCCCTCCCCCGCCGTCTATGCCCCAGAATATCGCCTCGGATTCACTTCTCCGCTCGTCCTACCTTCCAGAAAGTGGTCGCTTTTCTGATGAGTGAGTTGTTGCTCTTCTTTTTTCAATCTCCTGTTGAGTTTGTAGGTGTTCAGAATGGTTTGATCCCTATCCAGCTGAATTCCTGAGAGGAGACAAAATCCAGGTCTCCTACTCCTCCGCCATCTTGCTCCGCCCCCAGCCAACAGTATTTTTTGAAAAAAAACAAAAAAACAAAAAAACAAAAACAGGTCACCTTTTAAAAATGATATCTATGGAAAAATATAATTTAGTTTAAAAAATGTACTTGGTACCTTTATTGTCTGAAATCATAGTTTTGTGATTTTAATTTAAAAGGGTAACAACATAAAATATTCAACATCCTCATGAATTTGTACTCAATGAACCCAGTTTTTCATGTAGTATTTTAATATTTAGCTTTATCTTATGAGTGTTTTATCAAAATAAGCACATTTCCTTTAGTGAGTTGTTTTTAAAGGAATGAAGAACTGAAATGAATTTGAGTATTCACACATTATTTAAAATTGTTTTAATTTTAAAATAGAATCAGCACTTAGATTTTAATACATTTGGATTGATATCTACTTGAAAAATTTAGAGATTACTAAAAATAGACTGGAATCATTAAAAAAATATTTTAAAAGTATAAAGGCATGTGCAATTTTTCATGACTCAATATGTTTATTATTAAAAGCAAGATATAAAATGAAATACACAGTATGATTCTAATTGTATAAGAAATCATGCATTCCATAAAAATCATATATAACATACATGTGCTTACATGCATCCAGAAGGAAAATGTTATTGACAGTTATTTTTGAGTAGTTCTGCACTTTTTTTTGTATTTTCTGAAGTTTCTACAATTAATGTGCGATTTACATTCAAAATGTATATATTAGTTTTTTAAAAGGTCAAGTATAGGAATCTGTTTCCATATTTGTTTGCTTGTGTATTTTATATGTTCGTACTTCCGTGAACATGGGAGTAGAGTGGTGAGTAGATGTGTTCCTCCTCTGGCTAATTCTTGGAGGTTGTCAGATAGCCTAGGTGCCCAAAAACCTTTTTATGTACATACTAGAAATGAGAACGTACTTGTTTCTCTACAGTTCCAGAAGAGGTGGATTAAGAGTGAGTGGGGGAATGGGTGATAGTTTTGAGTCAAAGGGAAGAAAGACACCAGGATTTCAAAAGACCAGTCAGTTATCTGTAAATTTATCCGTTCCCTAATCCTCTCTGACAAACTCCAGGGGAGAATTTCTTTCTAGTTTTAGAGCCAGACCGAGTGAAGCACGGAAGACCTAGAAGTTTGCATGAGATTAGATTCAGAAAGTAAGCCTTCGGCTTCGCTTCAGAGTGCTAGTTCATACGACCACTAGTCGTGCCCAATGTCACTGCCGGACACGCTCTTCGGAGGCAGCTGGTACTTTGTGGCCCTTAGTGCTTTTGGTACCATAGGATTAGGGGTCTTTGATTAATAAAGTAAACCTTTCTTCAGATTAACGTCATCTGCTTTTCCTTCTGGTTTGGTCATAATGAAGCGTGGAGAGGTCGCGTCCTCTTGTGCTACAACACAATTTTGAAACGAGCTAGTTTACAAGAGGCTGCTATTGGTTGAATTCATTTTGTTAGATGACCAGGGGCTTTGCCACGTCTAAGGACTTGAATAGTTTCCGGATCCCAATGAAGTCTCTGTGAGGGTTTGCTTTTGGGTTGTTGTTCAGCTTTTTGCTAATGTTTCTGGCTTCTTGTGGAAAGAATGAGGGCAGAAAATAAAGTAGCAAGTGAGACAGAAGTAGGGGAAGGATGGCCACAGGCCTGGGGAGTAGTTCTGGACTCTCATTGTCATGCCTCTTTGGGAGAGAAAATTCAGCAGTGCGCGTTCAGCAAGTTCTTGGGAGAGGGGACAGCCAAGCCCTCCCTGCCTAGAGTGGGTGACTCTGTTTTAATCCGTGGTAGCCAGGGCGGGCTACTGAGCACCTCCTTCCACGTCATGAGCCTGGCACTGACTGCTGTGACTGTTACCTGGGTACAAATGTCCTCATTGCCCACATGCATGCATTTATACATGCACATACATATGCATACATACACACATGCATGCATGTATACAGTGTCCGAAATGGAGCCTCTTTTCTGATCTCACCCCCCATCCCGTGTCACGATCTCACCCCCCATCCCGTGTCACTCCCTTCCCACCTCTCCCTATAAATATACCAATCCCCCCCTGCAAAAGCTATTTTCTCTCCTTAAAGCTGTTCCTCTTCCTTTTTTGTTAAAGTTTGTTGTTGCCATGTTTGTTTGATTTTATTTAAATGAGAGACAATATTACATAATCCTCTTCAGAAGAATCATATCACCAGGACTTATTATTTCAAGTCTCCGGACAGTGCTCACTGTGCAAATTTGAATCTAGCTTCTCATCAGATTATAGGGGATCCTAGTAGTCTCTTCCCATTTTAGGGAGCCCCAATAATCTTATTGTGTGGTATTATAACTCCTTCTAGCTGTGCTTTTATTGGCCAAGTTTCTTTGTTTCAAAAGTTCCTTGTTGGTAAGGTCGTTCAAATGCAGCATTTCAGAATCATAGTCTATCATAGGCTTTTGAGTGTGTGTGTGCATTTACAGGTGATTAAAACACACATACTTTAAGCCAAATTATAGATAACAACGAAATGAATTCCTTGGAACTTAATAATCTTTTATTATTATGAGCACATTACAGGGTACATTTAAAATATATGTTCACATAATATTTATTTTCTTCCATACGCAAAATAACATATATTTTACCTGCATCATTGTACTTATGACAGTAGGTCTGATAAGACATTTCAATATTGAGGTGAGGACTTAGACAAAGGCTTAAAAGTTATATATTTGTCATATATTCAGAGATTATTTAAGCATTACATCATTTTGAAAAGAAAAGGATGGGATATAACCTGCCCTTGATTGAGGACATGTGCCCATTGAAAGAGTAGAAATAATTTTACTGTTACTGAAATGAGACAATCTTGAGATATTTGGCAGAAGCAATTTCTGAGCAATTCAAAAGAATGAAGTATCTCCGTCACTAAAATTATAACTGTCTTTCTTTCTGCTTTGACAGGGAAGGGAAGCAAGACTGGTAAATCATCCTAAATATTGTATATTCTAAATATATCTTTTACAGAGCTTACAACCAAAGAAAGAATTCATGTTTTAATAAACATTCACACCCTTTTTAGTTTAGAGTCATCCAATGTAATTCATGTAAAAAATGAGAAGACTTATTTCCAGGGATCAAGTTCAGATTAGTGGTGTGCCTTTGTCAGCAGAACTTAATTCTTAGAAAATAAACTTTGTAGCCAGGCAATTATAAAGAATGAAATGGGAGAGAAGACTGTCCCTTGGGAAAACATCTAGATTTCATATTACTTTAATTTTGACCATCCGAATAATCTACAGAAAAAACAAGTGCCCCCCCCCCAATGTAATCCTGGAGCGAAGGGGTGCAAAATAACACGTTTCCTTTAAAGTGTGTTCCGACCTTTCCTGCTTTTTATTTTCCCACACTTTGAATTTCAAGATCTCTGTGTAATTTGATGGTGGCCATAACGAATGGTCTAATCATTGGTAACGATCCATGTATTGACGTCACGCATATGCTGCTTGGGCTGAAACATATTTCATGGGTGGTGTTTGAGGTCATTCAATCCTTTTCTGAATTGTCCATGACTGAGTGCACAGTTCAGTTGCAGTGTTCTCAGTCAAAGTCATGTCCAGGAAGCTCTCTGTGTAGAGTAATTACGTTCACTTTTGATGAAAGAGCTTCAGCTAGCTAGATCACGAAATACCCCATGGAGATTTTGGAAATCCTCACAAGTCACCCATGCTAAGAAATACCACAAAAGAACTCTGGGCCCTGGCTCCCTGCTTTCCTCCGAGTAGAATGCTGCAAAACTTTCCTTGCCTTTCCTGGTTTCTCCGAGACACGCCATGCTGACCCCTTGCTCCTGCATCCCAGGCTCGGTGTGGCCGATGTTGCTGTGGCAATGGCACACACGGGGTAACAGCCCCCCTTTAGCCACAGCAGCGGGCCGTGAGTCAGTTGAAAAGGTCCCCCGGGTTTTGATTCGTGTATGATGCAGTCCCATGTGTCCTACAGTTGCTAGCCTGTCTCCTACAGTTGCTAGCCTGTCTCCCACCGTGATGCGGGACACTCGATGCTCATCACCTTCAAATGTTAGACGGTCCAGGGGCCTCTCACTGAGGCCACTGCAGTTGCCGGCTCCTTCCACAGCACCCCTTACTAATGCCTCTACAGTAAGAAGCCACGAGTAAAACTCAGGCCCTGCGGCCGGAACGGTCTTTCTCCTATTGTATATCGCGTGCACGTAAAAGGCAGCAGTGACCTTGCTTAATGATCAAGAAGCCCCTTTTAACCCAGACAGCTGGACAATGGTTAACATCCCAGAAGACAGTTTTTCAACCCACTGGCTGGGAAGAACACGTGCTGAAGAATAAGGATGGAATTACTGTAATTCTCTATGGAAATTTATGAAAGTGCAACTTATTATTTAATCCTGATCAAAAGTGGTCATAGAGTTATCGTAATTTCTAACATGGGATTTGGTTTATTTTTCAGACATGGAGATGACTTGATTGTGACTCCATTTGCTCAGGTAAGCACAGTTTGGTGAATGGGCGGGTTTCTCACAGATGTGAAAATTTAATTTGGGGGATTAGTTCTGGTTCTTAATTTCATTTTAAGTCAGATGCAAATACAATAAAAATTCTGTGGTTCATTTAAGTAATTCAAAGGCAGTGCTAGAGAACGTGACCTTAACCATATTGGACTGTTTCCTTATAAACCCATAAACCCAAAGAATGTCTTTGCTTCAGATTACAAATTACCTAAGTGACATATTTAAATGGGACCATAGCTACTTAACTTACATAAACACTAGAAGCAGAGGGCTATATCATGGATTAAATTACATTTAGTGTAACTAGATGCATGATCAGTGCTTGAAATTTAATATTTCAGTTCAACCTGTTGCTTTGTTTACTCCTTTTTTATGTGCCGTTTGTACAGATTTAAATTTATCTTTGTTCCTTTTAGACATACAAATCATGAAAATACTTTAAGCATATAACATAAATGCTAGAAGGTGATAAAAGAATCTAAAGCATTTGGAATATATATAAAATGGTTGGTAGGCAGATATTCTTTATATAGGCCAGTGCTTTGCTACCTTGCTGCCCATTAGAATCACCTAGAAAGCTGTTATCCCAGGCCGTATCCCTGATCAACTGGATCCAAAAATCTGGGGGTTGGATCCAAGCACCTGTATTTATTTATGTATGTATGTATTTTATTATGTTATGTTAATCACCATACATTACATCATTAGTTTTAGATGAAGTGTTCCATGATTCATTGTTTGTGCATAACACCCAGTGCTCCATGCAGAACGTGCCCTCCTCAATACCCACCACCAGGCCAACCCATCCTCCCACCCCCCTCCCCTCTAGAACCCTCAGTTTGTTTCTCAGAGTCTATAGTCTCTCGTGGTTCCTCCCTCCTCTGATTTCCCCCCTTCATTTATCCCTTCCTACTATCTTCATCTTCTTCTTTTTTATTTTATTTTTTTATTATGTTAATCACCATACATTACATCATTAGTTTTCGATGTAGTGTTCCATGATTCATTGTTTGCGTGTAACACCCAGTGCTCCAGGCAGTACACAAGCACCTGTATTTTTTATTTATTTATTTATTTTTAAAATTTTTTTAAAGATCTTATTTATTTATTCATGAGAGACAGAGAGAGAGAGAAGCAGAGGGAGAAACAGGCTCCCAAGGAGCAGGGAGTCCGATGTGGGACTTGATCCCAGGACCCTGGGATCATGACCTGAGCCGAAGGCAGTCGCTTAACCATCTGAGCCACCCAGGCGCCCACAAGCATCTGTATTTTTTAAAGGTCCGGTATTTTTCCAGGAAAAGTTGAGAGTCCCTAGTATAGGTAGACTGGGAACAGGATGGAATATACTGATTTAACTGGGGCATAAAACAGGGTTAAAGCCAACACTAACTCTAAAAAGAAACATTGAATATTAGGATACAAGTGATCCAGACAGATTATAAAAATGATAATAGGGGCCAATCATAATCATAATCAAAACTAGTTCTTATGCCTTGGACACCTCACTTAACTTCTCTACGACTTCTTTTTTCAACTGGTAAAACTAGACGACTTGCCTGGATAAAGGTAGACCTCAGTTCAAACCCCATCTCTTCCTCTTGCTCAGTGAATGGCCTTGGGCAAGTCACTGAACTTTTTCAAGCCTGGTTTACTCCTCTGCTAGATGAAAGTTCCAAGAGAATCCATTTCGTGAGGTTTATAAGATATTAAAATAACACCAAGCTTGTGAAATGCTAAGCACAATTTCTAGGAAACAAGATGAATTTTAAGTGTTGTAATTAGTAAGAGCTCTTTCATCTCAAAAATGTTGTAATAGGTTATTTTTTCAATACATAATGGCAGTGTTTGGCTAATAAGATTATGTGTAATTCTTCCCTTTTTTCAGATTTCCTGAAATTTTGTGATTGCTATAATTCAGACCAAAATTTAATGAATCCATAAGTAATACACCATATAATAGTGATTTTTTTCATTACTGCAGGCAATTAGAAATAGAATATGACCACCATATCTTTTAGAAGTTAATGTTTTGTTTGCTTACGGTTTTGCTGGAAATCATATTCTTTCTAGTACCTATATTTCTATGTTCAAAAACATTTACAACTTTTACAAATAAAAATTTGTACAAAAAAATTTACAAATAAAAATACTTTTATTTGATATAAAAAGATTTTTTCTCCAATAAATAGATAAATAAATTTGATTTGGTCCTTGCCATCAATGGTCTTAAATTCCTAGGAAATCTAGTCTTTTATATAATTAGACATATTCTGTAGTATACCTATAAACTACAAAAAAACTAACAATTTAAGTACACTGGGAAATATATACATATGTAAAAACATTTAGTCTATGTTAAATTATTAAAATAAATATGTATATGTAATACATTTGAAATTAGGACTTTGAATATAAACCAACTCTGCGTAATATGTAGGCATATCTGATGCCTAAAAATAATCCTGGAATTTTAGAAAAGTTTGCTTATGATTAGCTTAATGATTTGTAACACCTTATGGAAGATGGTCATTGGCCCAGAGGTTGCAGATTTTTTTTTTTTAAGCGCTTCATATTTTGCACAAGTGGCCTTTTACTTGGGTATATGATCTGGAAAGCTATACTAGAATTTAAAAAAAATTTTAAATAAAAAGCCTGTTAAATCCTGAACAATTTCACCACTGATAGGGCATCTTTGGGAAAGCGGGTAAGGCCCAGTAGCAGCAGTTTGTCTATGACCATCTCTTAAGCCCTGTTGCACACTGCTAGCATATTTTGTTCAGCGAACCAATAACATCTCAAATTTTTAATACAGGACATAATATTCACCACTGAATACCAAATATTATATATAATGTTTAAAATGAGAGATGTTTATGTCGCCTGAAGTGATAGCAACATTATTTGGCTTAATATACCATAGTTGCTTTTGCAAATGGACAGGAGACTTGATTTTAGACAGGTCACTCAGGGCAATGTTCAAATAGGCCAAAGAATTACCTCCTTCCTCCAGCATGCTTTGGAGTTTAGGATCTCACACTAAATTATTCTGGTTAAAAAGACATACTGCTTTTGGGGGTTCCTGGGTGGCTCAGTTGGTTAAGCGCCTGACTCTTGATTTCGGCTCAGGTCATGATCTCAGGGTCATGAGAATGAGCCCCATGTTGGGCTCTGTGCTCAGCAGGGAGTCTGCTTGAGGATTCTCTCTCCCTCTCCCTCTCCCTCTGCCCCCACTTCCATTCTCACTCTCTCTAAATAAATAAATAAATAAAATATTAAAAAGACACACTGCTTTCAAAATAGAATTTTTTTCCATAAAAAAGTTTAGAAAAAATTATAAAGAAAAGGAAGAAAATGAAATTTTCCCATAATTCCAACTCCCTTAATAACTAGTATTGACATTTTACTTTATATCCCCCTAGGTATATTTTTCTATGTGTGTTTTCCTTCCCATAATTCTTAGTAACTGGCCTCACACTGTCTAAAGTGGTCAAGAGTCTCCCAAACCCACCTCATCCGCCTCCACTTGAGAACTCATTTCTTTATGCCTGAGTGCCTCCCCAAAACATGAAAGGATCCCTCCCTGTTTTTTTTCCCAGTCATGGTTTCCTGTGAAGCTAAGAGAACAGAATCTTATTATAAGAGAATTTAGAAAGACATCCAATTTGATGGACAGGGCTGAACCCTAACCCATCTGGGATAGGTGTCATCTTCAGAAAGAGTCCTACAACCCTGCTTCAGGTCGTGTTCCCATGTCTCCAACACTGTCGGGGTAAGCAATTCTTTCTGGTGTTTACCCTATACCATTTGCCACTTCCAGTTTCTTATGTTTCCCCTAAAAGCTCAGAATCCTTTTAGTCCCCACAAACATCACATTTTTATAGATGTGATTTAGTTCCTTTTGAAATATTCTCTGTTTTTGTTGAAATCTTTTGGTGTGGGGATTTCCTTAGGCGCAAAGGCGAGGTGTTGAGAGGAATCCCAGTGCCATGCCACGTCATGCAGCTCCACAATTGGCCTTTTCCTCCCAAAAGTATAGTAACAGTTTGGCCAGAGCTCTTTAGGGGGATTCGGAATACCAACAAGTCACAACACCGATGAAATGTAGGAGACTCTGCTTTGTAATCATTTGCCTCGGGCCACACCCGCCCAGATATGTGATATGACTACAAGTCAATTAGAATTCTCATCTTGAAGTATGGACTGTTAAAAGAAGTGGAATATTTGATTAAGGAAGACACAGAAAATACCCAACTATTTTCTTGGATCCCTGGAGAACCCTCATGTTATTCAGACTAAGGAGATATGCTGGATTTAAATCTACAGGGTAGGAACAGCTGAGTCATTTTAGCTTTAATCAAAATACAGCATCTGGCATAATTTTGTAAAAAATGTACTAGTATTTAACGCTATAGAACGTTACTATTCCATTTGGTAATAGAACATTGCCAGTATTTTTTTTAATGCCCGATTGTCCCTGCCCCATTTCACCCGGCCGTGGCTACCTTGTGGTCTCATCTTAATCCCCAGGTTGATGAAGCCACCAGGCACCCCCTGCTGGAAGCTAGTCATCACATTTCAGCTAGCATCTTCTATAAATCAAAATACTTTTTAGATCGAATTATATGAAATCATCAATATTCAACCTTTGTTGACATAGAAGAAGAGCAATTTCATACAGTTTAACCAAAACATAACTTGGAAAGGTTTCTATCAAAATGACTTTTCTATCTTGTAAGTAATCATAATTTGACTCCATTTTTTTTTTTGTTATTGTTATTGTTGTTTGCTTGTTTTGTTTTGTTTTTGTTTTTGTTTTTTCTGGAAGTAAAACCAAGACAAGGAATTTTTTCTCCTCCTTTCCCCCAACTCCAGGGGCAACTGTGGCTACTCTTGATCTATGTTTTAGCACCATCTAGTGACATGAAGTGTATTTGTAATGAAAAACAATCCTCAAAATTCTTTGTTCACTTTTTAAGCAGGGGTTTTTAAGGAGAACGTTGTTGCCACATCTTTTTTGTTTATTTACAGCAACCTCCTCTTCAAATCTTTTCAAGTAGTCATTACTATAGAAGTATACTTTGCTTTTAGGCTATATGTTCAGTTGTTTAACTTTTCAATGAAAAGTGAAGATTCAGTGAATCTTATTGGTTAATAAATGTTAAAAGTATTTAAGAAAATCTGAGATTAGTGTGTATAAATAACATTTAGTCCTTCTCCTGAGCCAGTACATGATCCATCTCTGCCACAGTTTTCCATAGCATCGTCATGATTTCTTTCCTAAAATGTATATATTTCTCATCATTTCAAATGCATTTTTGACTTCGACTGATTACACTTTTGCTTGGATTGGCCGAAGAGAAAGAAATGGCCTTAATTTTCTAACCATTGAGCTGTGTAAGGGCAAATCTCAAGGTTCTTTTTGGTTAGCAAGCATTAAGGCGTGGAGAAAAGCATAGGAGCGTTAAAGCCCTGACTACAGTTCTTAAAAGGTTGAATTCAAGGGGAGAACTACCCTAGAGCAAAAGGGAAGAATAATTGAATCCTGACTCAAGGGCTTGAGTAAAACTGTTTCCGGTTCTCCCCCACAGCCTATAGAACCAGACGCCTCACTCTGTAGTCTGGAAGATAAGAGCGTGAAAGACTAACTCAGTGCATTGGTGATGGAGGCACCTAGAATCAGTCAGCTAAATCTAGGGTCATGCTTTCCATAACAATTGTCTGGAACTTAAAAAAAAAAAAAGATTTTATTTATTTATTTGAGAGAGAGAGAATGCGCACGGGCGAACGGGGTGGGTGGCTGGCAGAGGGCGAGGATCCCAAGCCAGCTCCGTGCTGAGCTTGGAGCCCCTCGAGGGGCTGGATCCCTCCACCCATGAGATCATGACCTGAGCCAAAACCAAGAGTCAGCTGCTTAACTGACTGGGCCACCCAGGCGCCCCCGTCTGGAACTTTTATTTACACTTCTGCCATTATCATATGTGTGCCGTAGGGCAGGATATAATAATCCTTAATATAGAACTTACAGGGTATTATTTGTCCTATCACAAAAACAGTGGTCTAATACTTGCACGCATAAGGGATGATGGATTTACAAAATTATTTACTGCAGCAGTGTTTGTAAAAGCAAACTCTAGGAGACAACCTAAAAGTTCATTGGTAGAGGGGACAGGCAGAATGTCGGGGGGGGGGGGGGACTGGGAAGGCAACTTCTTTTTTCACTTTCTTTTGGAAATTCTTCAAAAATGTAAGAGAATATAGCTAGTGACTATCTAAAATATAAAGAACACTAAAATCAACAGTTAAAGAATTAGAACAGTACCAGTATTTTTAATACCTCAGAGCATACTTCCCCGATTTCATCTACCTGCCTCCTCTCACAAATAACAATAATTTTGGTTTTTGTCTTTTTTAATGAGGGGGATGCATTCTACATTCTACCTTTATATTCTGTTTAAATTCTGTACCATGTGGAGATACAGATTATACAAAAGAAATACATTAAATTTAAATTAAAAACTGAAACAAAATCATCTGATTTAATATTTTTATTATAACAGAGTGAAGAAACACACTATATCTTTCATGAATTAATGTTTCCTTTCAAATGAGCATAGAACTTGAATTACCTGCAGCAGTATTTCTATTTATGTAGGTGTCAAGTGCAGTGCGCTTACTATAACTTATTAGAACAAAGTTCTCAGAATTCTGAGGTTAAATTTTGCCTAGAAAAAGGAGCATTTAGGGAGTGCAATAATCTTATTTAAAATGTTTTATTAGTGTATTTGATATTCAATTCTTAAAGCATAAATTAGGCCTGCATGATTTAATGACAGTGGATCATTGATCAGATTTATTTCTGCATCATTCAAGATTTCATGCCTAATGAAAGACAGCATGCTCTGATGTCAACAGTTGGCTATTTGAATACTCCGTCATAGGCAGCGTGACCTTTCAGTGCTGTGAGTTGTTTATATGTGATAATGAGCCAGGTTTTTCCAGTGACTGAGTTAATCATGGTTGGCACCTCAGGAAGCACCATTAACTCCTTCAGGGGATAATGCTGTAGGTTGCCGTCCCAGGGTGTAAACAGCACCCCAGTGACTTACGAGAATTAATGCCAGTTTCAGAAATGTCTGAGACATTTTTGTCTTAGAAAAACATTTAGACTGACTTTAGTCTAAGTCAGTGCCAGATGAAAACATCCTGGATATAGTTCTGGAACACTTGGAGCAATTATAAATTTGCATGCTTCACCCCCCGCCTTGTTTACCAAATGATAATCATTAAGTAAACTCCCCATGCACGTGCCAAATCATTAATCAGCTGGCATGTTGCCATAATGGGCTTATATTCGTTGAGTGCTTTCTGTTTGCCGGGCACTGTCCTTGGCACTTACCCTATCCTTTCCTATCATCTTCACAACAACCTCAGAGATAGCTATCACTATCCTGGGTTATAGAAAAGGAAACTGAGGCACACAGAGATTATGTAACTTGTCTAAGTTCACACAGTGAATACATAACTGAGTCAGGCAGTCTGGATTGTTAGGTAGTACCTACTAAGACATTTGAAATCTGTGTTTTAGTGCAACTTCAACATTCTCATTGTCACCCAGATTAATTATAGTCTCACCTAATATGGGCTCCACCTGGGGGAAACTTGCCCATACTAGTGGGAAGGGAGGCAGGTAAAGTCATTGTAAATTTTCTCTCCTAGGCTTACTTCCAATTCTTTTTGCCACCTTCTGGTTGCACTAGAATTAGAAAAAGAAGGACCTTCAGAGGTAGGGGGACATATTGGTCCTGCCTTATGTGTATGGGTGTGTTGTGTCTATGTATTCATTTATGCAACACATTTTTTTTTTTTTTTAGTATCTTCTATGGGCCCACCTCTGTGCACATCAGAGTGGTCCTGTTTTATGTGAAAATGCATCCCTTAGTGATTCAGATAACCTTAACAAAGAAAATAATTTCTTTACTCGATAGATAGCCATGTAGCAAAGGTGAAAAAAACAATTTAAAATTCACCTAGCTTTGAAACGTCTTTGAAAGTCTGACGTTCTTGGTGAATGTTTGAGGAGAATTCGGGGATATATACATTTACAATTTTAACCCTTAAAGTGAGAGTTTATTATTATTTTATATTATACTATTTCAGATTTGCCTGAAGTGTAACAACACTCTATGCATATTGCCTGGGATATTGTTCTGCTGGCTGAGGAGTCCAGGAATATTGTGGAAGCTGTTGTTACTGTCACCATATTCATAGACAATGAGGAGAAATGTCTGGAAAATCTTTGCAGTCTGGCCTCTCTAGATTTCAAATAGATACATGTAAACTTCACTAAGGGCTAGAAGATTCTTTAATGGTATATGAAACTAGGTTGAAAGCAGTATCAGGTTTTCACTTAACAGACTACTTTTTAAATCACCAAACCATTTTAAATTGCACTAAAGATGGCCGTACTCCAAGTAGCTTAAAGAATCCCTTTTTGTTGTAGGTCTTGGCCAGCCTGCGAACTGTGCGAAACAACTTTGCTGCGTTAACTAATTTGCAAGATCGAGCACCTAGCAAGTAAGTTATTCTTTCCCCACTCCTTCTTGCTGAACTTTTAGACGGTGTGTTCTCAGTTTGATTGAACTCAGGGCAATATATTAGATTTCTCTGAGTCGTTGCCATGTTGTCTAACCATTTACACTAAGTCATAAGATGTCCTGTTAATTTTCTATAAATACTTTGTAGTGATGGTTCTAATATCAGAAATGAAGTAGTATGAGAAATAAATATGGTGATTGCGTCTGTCAGAGATCATCTGGCATAATCAGTCCTCTGCCCAGTTATTTACACTCAGGGTAACTTTATACTTTCGGCTTACTTCATAAATTAACCACGGACAAAGAATCTCTTCAAGACTTTAAAGTCAATCCAAAGTCATCCTCTTAATTCTAAGCAACAATTACTTGGAGGAGCATCATATCATACCAAAGATCTTTGATTCTCTTGCTGTTACTGAAACTCAGATCAGGAGTGTCATGGAGCAATTAATAAAGTTGTGATTTTTTTTTAAAGATTGTATTTATTTATTTGACAGAAAGAGACACAGCGAGAGAGAGCAGGGAGAGTGGGAGAGGGAGAAGCAGGCTTCCCGTGGAGCAGGGAGCCTGATGCAGGGCTCTATCCTAGGACCCTGGGATCATGACCTGAGCCGAAGGCAGACACTTAACTGACTGAGCCACCCAGGCGTCCCTAAAATTGTGATTTTGTGATAACAGAGGAAGCAGTTGAAAAAAGGAAAGCTGAGATGGGAATTGATTATTATTTGGAAGTGCTAATAAAAGCGAAAAATCAAAAAAGAGAAAATTTTCCATGATTAAGTGGAAAACTAATTATTCAAATACTCCTTATTTTGACAATCTAGTGTTAATAATAAACAAAAAGTTATTAAAATATCAACTCCAAAGATTTTTCCAAAAGAAAAAAAAAACATATATTTTTTTAAAGATTTTATTTATTTATTTGAGAGAGAGAGAATGAGAGACAGAGAGCATGAGAGGGAGGAGGGTCAGAGGGAGAAGCAGACTCCCCACCGAGCAGGGAGCCCAATGCGGGACCCGATCCCGGGACTCCAGGATCATGACCTGAGCCGAAGGCAGTCGCTTAACCAACTGAGCCACCCAGGCGCCCTGTTTTGTACCTTCTTTACCGATTCTGATTCAGATCAAACCAATATCTTCCGATATCAGACTAGTAGGATCCAGTGTACACACAGCTAAGCTCTGCTGTGTTCAGGGACAGTGAAATGGTTATAACTCTGGCCCATCACATGATGACCATGAGGGAATCAGAATTTTCCCTGCTGGACACTTACAGTGCCACTAAAACATTTCCAGGCTGACCCATGGATTTTATGGAAGGCATGTGCTACCTTGCACAATCCACCCTTTTTGTTTGCTGCAGGAAAAGAGTCAGTCCAGGAAGAAGACATGTGAAGCCTGGCCCCTGTGGGTACTCAAATGTGCACTGCTGACTTTGCTAGCCTACTGTTGGTTCCTATCACCTTGCTCTTGCATGTTTTGAGATTTTCAATTCCAGAGTGAGTTCTGGCTCATTCTTCATTAAATCACTTATCACTGTAACCATGAATCAAATGATTAATATTTTCTGCTTGTCATTACTTGAAATATCAAGTCCCCAAGTTGTAGGATTGATATTAAGAGAAGATAATGAGTAACAAGTCAATAATTTGGTTTTCCAAAACAGTTAGAAAAATGTAGGACTATTCACGTTACACCATCTTCAGATAAAATGCTTCCTAAATTTTCACAGAGCAAGAACTAAATTCAGTTATAAATTATTTAAATAAACTCTCAGCAAGATAACTGTTTATATAGAGATCAGTTCTATTTCAGAGTAGCAATTTAGAGCATTAACCTTTCTGTTTTATGAAGCATTAATCAAGTTTCAAATTTCCTCATTTCATTTACTAATAAAAACTAAAATAATTTCGGGTACCTGGGTGGCTCAGTCATTAAGCGTCTGCCTTCAGCTCAGGTCATGATCCCAGGGTCCTGGGATCGAGCCCCACATCGGGCTCCCTGCTCGGCAGGAAGCATGCTTCTCCCTCTCCCGCCCCCCCTGCTTGTGTTCCTGCTCTTCCTATCTCTCTCTCTGTCAAATAAATAAATAAAATCTTTAAAAAAAAAAAAACTAAAATAATTTCATAGTTGATTTTTATGTGTTTCCAGTCAAACACGAAAACTTCAGTCCCATACTGACATCAGTAAACTTAACAGCAATAAGACAGAGCCAGATACTGACTGGAACCAAGCCAGTGAGAATTTACAAAGCACTTGATTGCGTTCCCCAGTTAAGAGAATTGTCATCTCAGGAGAGCAGTTGTGAACACAGCTTTGCAAGGGCCTGCCATGTGCACAGATGCGTGGCTGTTCGTCCAGGTTCCTCAAAAGCATCCTAAAAGTAAGGCAGTTTAGCAGACCGCTCGCCCTAGAATTCCACTGCTTTAGTTCAAATCTCAGCCCTCTTCCTCTGAACAAGTCAACTTCCCAAAGCTTTGTTTTCCTCACTGGTAAAATTGAAACAGTGAGATTACCTGCCTTAAGGTTTCTTTTGAGGATCAAAGTAGATTATTCATCTAAAGTACTCATTTAGCACAGTGTCTGACACACAATAAGTGTTTCGTAAGTGTTGGTTAAGTGTTAAAGATCACTATGCAATATTTTTAAAGTTTCCAATTATAAGTGACAACTTTCTAAAGTTGTATTTTATAAATGATATTCTTTTCAATATAATTTATTAAGCATTGATTGAATACTGGATACATTGTTCTGGGCTCTGTAGGGAAAACAAATTAGTTTTATAGCAGGATTTTTTAGGTCAAGGGGTTTATAATCATCTTGTGAAACTTGGGAAATATCTGAAAACTTAGAGGACACAGACAGAATCAATTCAAGTACCTTTAGTTTATAGTATTTCTAAAGCCTCTGTAGCATCTATTTGGACAAAGCATTAATATGCCTCTCTAGCAAATGCATCAGAGATGTTACTCAATATGAGGAAGGAGAAACGAAAGGGTTTAAATAGCTTCTATAATTGTAATACATTTTACAAGGAGTCATTCACCTCTGAGAATTTGTGCCAAAAACAAAAGTTTCTCACCACCGTATTTGGGAAACGACTTGTAGATTGACTGCTTTTCAAATTCACCAAGTCTGTGTTTGCTCTATATGCCCTGGTTTAATGGAACGTAGTCAATCAATAGGAACGTCCTCCTCTATCATGTTCCTATGACATTTACTTCAGCTTTATTTGCCTCGAAGTCTATCACTATGAGATTTAACTATTTTTTTTTTTTTGACATGTGTGATCTGAACTATAGTGCAAAGGGTGCTTGGGAACTTAGGTGGCTAGTCTGAAAGAAGTCTTCATTTGCGGGCGCCTGGGTGGCTCAGTTGGTTAAGCGACTGCCTTCGGCTCAGGTCATGATCCTGGAGTCCCGCATCGGGCTCCCTGATCGGCAGGGAGCCTGCTTCTCCCTCTGACCCTCCCCCCTCTCATGTGCTCTCTGTCTCTCTCATTCTCTCTGTCTCAAATAAATAAATAAAATCTTAAAAAAAAAAAAAAAAAGAAGTCTTCATTTGCATGTCCTAGCCTAAAAATAATTCTTTAAATTAAAATGACATATCTGAAATGACTCAAAGAGTCCTCAAATTAACATGCACCACGTATTTACTACTTTGTACTTTTTTCTCTTTGTCAGAAGATCACCCATGTGCAACCAACCATCCATCAACAAAGCCACCATAACAGGTAAGGAAGATCTAGTAGCCTTCTCTCCTTATGTCTAGAAAGAAACCCTATCTTCCAAGGTTTGATACAAGACTAGCACCAATTTTATATTGCAATTCTATAATTTTAAAGAAATTGATCCTTTTTCTATTATGACTTATTTCACTGAGCCCACAAATTGTCCATTTAAGCTGTTACTTGGGAAATCTTTACTGATGTGCCATTTTAAAAAACCATTTAAATCTGTGCTTGTGCTAAGTTTAACATTGCTCTGGGCATTTGTATAAAGAGATAGTGTTACCTTCCAAATGTTGACCATGTTGTTTCCAGGCTTATGCTACCAGCATGATATTAATATGTGGTAGTTTGGTTTAATGAAAGTGAAAGCATAAATAAAAGGGACCTTCCTGGTTAATTGATATCCCAGTTGTGTGTAGGAAGGAAACCCATTCCAGTGTGCTGATTTGGACTCAGAATTGAGAAGAAATTTACTTTGGGAGGGGAGAGAAGAAGTAATTATACAACACAGCAAAGTTCAGTGAGATCAAAAGAACAGCTGTTTGGGGAAGAGAAGGGGAAGGAAGGATGAGGGACATAAAGGGCAAAAAAAAAAAAATTTATCCCAATTCCTATTAGTCTATTTTGGACATAGGACTTGACCTCATCTGAACCAAAAACAGAAAAAATGATTTCATTTTGCTGAACCTGAAACAAAATTGAACTCATTTAATCATTTCTTGAAACCCCAATTGATTCATTAAAATAATTGCCTGGAAAAGCAAACCTATGTTTTCTAAAATTATTACCAGAAGAAAATTAACATAGTCTCCAAATTAGACCAATACTTCATTTGATTCAAATGACTTCCTTGGACTCCAACTCTGAATATTCTGAGAGCTCCTTATTAAGTTATTAGTGAGAACACTTTGCTTGAAAGTTAACTTCACTGTTCAAGTCAGCACTTTTCCTCTGGTCTCCTTTGTGGTCACTACCCCAGAGTTGATTCTGGAACAGTTGGTAATGTAGTTCTTTTCTGAATGTCTCTTAAATGGGATTTGTACTTCAATGAATATTAAATTGTTGATTCTCTTTCCCATGCTTATCTTTCAAGATCTTATTGGTGACGATTTTCCACTATCATTTCATAGTGTATGCCTGGTCCACCAGTTTTCTTCTTTGTCATTGGTCGAGAGGTGGACAATAGCTGAAATTCCTATATATCAAAATAAGTTCTTTGAATAACAAATTTCTTTCCAGATAGCCAAATTCAATGTCAATGAGCCTACACTGAAATCAGGGTGTAGAAGTGAATGGTTTTGTCTCTGTGCACTTGCCTTTTATGTTGAGGGACAAGCAGGCCATCCTTTGTGGGCATGCAGCTGGGGACTCTAGTGTGAGAGACTGCATGGAAGCTTGTCCCCAGCCCTGCTCTGGGCCCTAGATCTCACCCCTATGAGGAGGGGCCATCCCCCCACCCCTGCTATTTTTGCCATAGGTAGGACTCTGACGTTGTGGTTTGAGCAGAATGCAGTGCTATTTTGGTTCCCGAAAGCTTTTGTAGCTTGAGGTCACATAGGAGCCAGCCCCACAGGAGCATCCTCCCCGAGAGCAGCTGCAGGTCCCAGTGGAGATGGTTGTGTCCATCAAGAAGTGGTGGGTGGTCAGCGGTCCGGGCAGCTGTCCAGCCACCCTGGCAGATGCCTGGAAGTGATTAAAGGGAGAGTAATTGCACTCAAAGGGCACAGATTTTGTCTTAAACACATGTGAGAGACCCTTTAGCAGCTCCCAGAAATGTTCACATAGTATTGAGACCCAGGAGCAATGCCAGAGGGAACTGAAATCTGGGAATTAAGGTTAACATGGCCTCATTTGTACCCACAAGTTTCTGACCTGGGGCCTAGGGACAGTGGGACTGCAGAAGTATCTTATCTAGGAAGCGAAACTGATTAACTGTCATTAACTGCTTAGTGCAGCTGTGTTCATCACAAAGCACACCAGGAAACTAACTAGAAAATGAAAGTCTTTTTCCTTGCCTCAGCCTAACAAACCAAGGTGGAAAAGTGGAATGGAGGATAAGGGAATGAAGGCAATAGCAGGGAAAGATTCCCCTCTCTGAGCCCATTCTGGAAAAGCGGACCCTTAAAAATATAAGCTTTGACAGTGTAAGAGTTGAGACACACAGAAAAGTGGATTCTGTCCCTCAGCAGCTGACTGTTCAGGTTCTACCTCCAAGTTCACTCCCCCTGTTGTTGGAACCCAGCTCCACCTCTGTGGTGGTCCTGGGAAGGACAGGGAAGAGTGTTAAAAAGAGTCAGTGGGACATCCTTTAGGATGAACTTGACCTTCTTTGATACTTTGTTGAGGTTCTAGAGGAAAAGTGTAGCATATGGCAAAGTCCATGAGGGGTCCAAATGGGTGCTGTGGTGACATGTCCAAGGGCCCCTGGGGGGCAACCCCATAGAACATCACTGACGGGAGTCCCTGGAATTATGCAGCGTGGGTGCTCTGCCTATCTAGAATTCAAATCATGCTCTACCATGATAGCTGCGTGACCCTGAGCAGGCCACATGCCTTTCTCTGCCTCAGTTTCCCCATTTATAAATTGGTTATCATATGTCATACAGTTATTGCCAAATTAAATGAGTTCACGTGTGGATGCTCTTGGCACAGTGCTTCACAGAGTAGGCACTCAATGCATCATTTTCTCTTTCGCTTTGCACTTGTTTTTATTCTCTGGATGTAGAACGAGGGGTAATGGAAAGAATAGGGCAGAGTGATGAAAGAAGAATGAGAGAAAGACAGCTTGCAGGGGCATGAAATATGGAGCCCCACAAAATGGACGTACTTCCTTGGTGCCGTCAAAAATGGGCCCTTCCAGTGTTCCCAGTGCTCTGTCCCTTCCTCTCCTCACTGCCACAGACATTGGTGCCTTTGTGATATGGGCAGTAAAGTGTGGTTCAGAATCATTTTCAAAATCGAACAACTTACATTGGAGTCGTAGTTCTTTGAAGGAAAATAATGAACTCTTTATAACTTTTTCCGTAAATCACTGATTTTTTTAAAAAAGAAGAGGGAAGAACTTTAAGAGTTTACATATGTCACGCTATGTTTTCTAAAGCTTTCTCCCGTAGAACTTAGAAACCCCTTTTCCCCTTTGAGGTCATTCCGGTTGACATGTTTTAAAGCCAGGAGAGTTTGATTTTGTATCATTAGAGTTAAAGCATGTAAATCACTTGGCAGTTTTTGTTTCCATACCTAATAGGTAAATACACAGTTCTAAAATGATCTCACAGTTTTTTAAAAAGTTTCCACATGTACATTTATAAAAGTCTTATTACTAAATAGCTATTTTGTTCTTTACTGTGATGTAACAAAAACAGGGTGTGTGGCATTTGGAGCTGGAGTCCAAAGCCTGTCTCCGTCATTTGAAGAATGGAGACGTGAGTAGGTAGCTCTCAGTTCTGGGGGAAAAACTCAGGGAGATAAGTTAGACAAACACCAGAAGTCAGCAGGTTATGAGTAACGCACCAAGTGCTTCTTCCTACAACCATAATCCATGCCTGGCATTTTTGTTGTTGTTGTTCTTCAAGCTAATTTGAAAACTCAGAAAGTAGAGGAGGAAGATGGTGATCATGTGTCAGCTTCTCTGGAACATTTCATTTATGATTGTTTTTAAATAGTAACGACAGGACATTTTTAGGAAATCTTCGTATTACTTAGAGCAAGACTCACCTGCACAGGTCCTTGAGGAGCCATAAAGAATAGAACGGAAGAGTGTGTTGGAACATGAGGGGGCAGCAAAGCATCAGGGATGCCCAAGCCATCGCGGTATCGTGCTGTTCTGTATTTGTTTGGGAATACAGCCATGTCTCTTTGGATATAATTAGTCCTTTGGAGCATTTCGTTTTCAAACGATGTTAACTCAGGAAAAGTCATCTCATAAAACCTTGTCGTGTCTTCACAATATCACTTTTTACTACGTTTCTAATTTCCATATTTTCAATTGCTTTATTTAATCATTTTCAAATTAAGGATTTTCACACAAGAATGTAACTCAGGGAAATTTTATTTAAGCTTCTCTGTCGTAAAGATGAGAAAACTGAGGGGCACCTGAGTGGCTCAGTCGGTTACATGTCCGACTCTTGATTTTGGCTGAGGTCATGATCTCAGGGTCGTGAGATGGAACCCTGCATTGGGCTCCACACTCAGCATGGAGTCTGCTTTGTGTTCTCTCTCTCTCTCTCTTTCCTTCTGCCCTTCTGGCTCATTCTCTCTCTCTCTCTCTCTCTCTCTAAAATAGAGTTGAGAAAACTGAAACCTCGTAAGAGCCAATGCTACTTAGACATAGATCCAGGAATAAATATCTCTGAGTCCAGGGGCCTTCTTATGCCCTGTAAAACCATCCATCTTAGTAGGGTAGCCTTCAGACCCACCATAGAAGCGTATATTTGGGGAAAGTAAAAGAAGAATTAAGGGATATTATTGTGATGATGATATTATATGATGATATTATTCTGAGCAATAGATAGAGCATTTTATTTCTTGTATATAAACCTCAAAATTAGAAAATATCATGTCCCACCTTATCACTAGACAGGTCTTTATATTTAGAGCTGTTTTGATTATATTCACTGAATATAACTTATAGGCCCTCAGATAAGTAGAGCTTGGTGGTCTAAAGCAAAAGACTTGAGATTTTAGAAAACACAAGCTTTTTTCTCCAAGCAATACAGTAAGTCTAACTGCTTACACTTTACCTGTAGAGGGACACAGGGGATGCAGTGACAAGCATAAAACAAAATTGGTTTTAGTCCAAAAAACATTTTGGTGTAAGTCTCCACTCCACTTCATATTTTTTCATCCTGAATATTCACAACTCCTTAAAAAATGACTGTGTTCTAAATAGAATTTAGTCAGTTGGTAAGTAGAGGACTTAAAAAGTAAATTATCCAAATAGTACTAATCAGTCAAGACACAATGAGAAGAAACTTGACCTTGTACGATTATTGTTCTTCTAAAGC